GAGGCAGGATCAGACAGCATCGAATCTGGAAATCGAATCGAATCGGAATGTGCACCAGATCGGGCCGCATCAGGCATGGAGTCGGACTCAAATCGGATCGGCCGCGCCAGGCTCCAGGAGAGGAGGGCCCCCCTCAACCACACAACCACACGCTGATGGGTCCCCCATTCCACTCCACCCTTCCTCCATGCTCCACTCATACCCACCTCTTCCACTCATCGCCAACACTCCTCCCCCATCCTGTACCTCTCCTCCTCTGCTCCGCTCATCCACACCTACCCCCACCTACCCCCACCTACCTCCCCCTCTTCCTCCTCTTCCTCTTCCACCGGTCGAGGTGATCCTGCCTGAAAGTGGCAGCAACTTTCGAGCATAGCACCTCGCAAGAGAGCATGGATATTAGAGCATCGCCCGAAACATGCAGCGCTATGGCGAGAGGAAGGCAGTATCCATCTTCTACTCGCATAAGATCCGAGAAGGCTACAAATCGTCCCCACCGAGCATACGCCAACCATCGTGTCAGTTGTGAGATGCGTGCTCGTGCTGCGTTGGAAGGACAACATATTGCAATTAAGACGCCACTCAACCATGAGCCTATCATCGTCCTTCTTCTCGACGTCTCCCTCCTCCTGATCTCCTCCTTTTCAGCCTCCAACCTCCGAAACCTCTTGGACATATCAGTGTGTCTCGTCTTTCTGTCGCGCCAAACAAAGAGAGTGTAACATGACACAAATGGCAAACAACTTGATGAAGACAGCCCGACTCAGCAGGAAGGATGAAATGGGATCGACAAAAACTAACATAGGCCAAACAACGTGGACCCCAAGCAATGTGATTCTAGGAACCCGTGTTGTGAAATCTGGATGGAGCAAGCTATGTGGCGCAAGCTACGTGTTGCAACATAGGTTGCGCAATGTATGTGATGCAACCTCGGTTGTGCAATCTATGTGGTGCAAACTGTGTTGTGCAATCTATGTTGGGCCATCTATATTGGGCAGAATATGTAGAGCAACCTACGTGTTGATTCATGTATATATATAGATATATAAATATAGATGTATGGAGTTGTCTACGTGTTGCATAAATTTGGTGAAGTCTATGTGGTGCAACGAATTTCTATTCGCAATGGGTTGCGAACTCCACTGCTCGCGCAATCTTCGCACCCATCCACCCGCAACTTGGTTTGCAAAACCCGTGCGGCGGCGACTGACTGCGATGAGTGCTTGGTGTTGGCTGGTGCATCTCTGCGTCCGCGTTTGCCCGCGCGTGCTCGCGCACGCAGCGGGCAGCTAGTTTGGCGCGACCGACGCTGCCGCGGTGGCGCTGACCGCTGGGCACTTCCCAGCGGGCACTTCAGTGCGAGTCGGCGAGTTGGGCGGGCACGGCAACTATTATGGCAACATCGAGAGCGGTAGACACGATGATGATATTAGCAATGCTGGTGACGATGGTGACAACGACGACGGCAAGGCCAGTGACGGCGGCGGTGCTGATCACGCCGATGACGATGACAGCTTCCTCGCGTCTGTGATGAAGGTTGTGGGAGGAGTTCGACATACTCGCACGGCCGACGCGCGAGTGCCCCGCATGGTATTACTTGGGGAGGATCGCGCCCCCCCCCAGCACGCGCGCAAGGGCGTTCGGTTGATTTCGACATGTGGCGCGGGAGGCCTGTTTGGCAGAATTCGTCGAGCATGTTGAACACCTGTTGTTGTCTAAAGAACTCGCAAGGGCGCGCGTGCAGGCTTTATGTGAAAACCGGTGATGGGACACTTGATTTTGAAATCCTTACAGAAGCTAACGATTTTGCAAGACTTCGGCATGCGCGCGCGACGACGCGCGCGCGTGCACTTCGACCAAGTTGTTTTCAGGGGTTCTTGCGACAGCACGCGCGCAAGGACGTTCAAGCGATTTCGGCATCCGCGCGCCGGAGGCTCTTTTCGTAGTATGTTATGACAGTGTTGATCAACCGATGGTGGTTTCCTGCAGAATCTGCAAGAGCGCGGACGCAGGATTTCTTTGAATATTCTTGTTGCGAAACTATGTGTTGTATATGTTTTTGGGGCACTCCGTTTTGAAATCCTTACGACACATGACGTTTTTGCAGGGTGTCGGCATGCGCGCGCGACGACGCACGCGTGTGCACTTCGTCTCCTGTTTTGCAAAGGGCATTTAAACATTGGTCTTGACATGCGAGTGCGCGAGCATAGAAATTGCTGCAAAGGATGAGGGGGTGAAACCGGTATTCGCAAAGGGGGACTGTTAATTCCCAGGGGGGCAAGATCCGAATACTCCTCCAGACCAGAGAATATCTATATATATATATATATATATGTAGTACAGTCTACGTAGTGCAACCTATGCGGTACAATATATATATATATGGTGCAACTCACCCTGCCGAGCTCGAAGTTGTCAACCCTGCTGCTCGCGCAAACATCTCCAGTTGGGTCGCTCACATACGCGCAAACATCCCACCGGTAACGGCAGACACGATGATGAGAGTAGCGATGACGGTGACGATGGACGCGATGACGACGGCAAGGCCAGTGGCGGCGCCGATGTTGATCACGGCCGCCGGTAATGATGACGATGTCCTCGCGTCGGTGATGAGGATTTTTGAAGGAGTTCGAGATGCGCGCGCGGCCGACGCGCGCGAGTGGCCCGCGTGGACTTATTTGACACGGATCGCACCCCTCTCTAGCACGTGCGCAAGGGCGTTCGAATGGGTTCGACATGCGGCGCGAAAGGTCAGTTTGGCAAAACTTGATGAACATGTTGGAAAACCGATGGTTTCCCGAAGAAAGCGCAAGACCGCGAGCGCAGGAGTGTTTGAAAAAACTGATATTGCGAAACCATGTGTTTGATAGATGTCCGGAACATTCGCTTTTGAAACCCCGACGAAACTCAAAGTGTTTGAGGGATTTCGGCGTGCGCGCGCGACGACGCGCACGTTCGCACTTGGTCCCACCTGTTGCAAGGGATGCTCGCGACATCACGCGTGCAAGGGCATTCGAACGATTTCGGCTCGCGCGCGCCGGAGTCCCGTTTCGTCGCATTTAATGAGGATGTTGGAAGCAGATGGTTTTCTGAAGAAATTCGCAAGACCGCGGGCGCAGGCTTTGCTTGAAAACAAGTGTTGCAAAACCATGTGTTCTAATACATGAATATGTATGTTTTCGCGACACCCGATTTTGACATCCTTGCGAAACGTGATGGATCCTGGCATGCGCGCGCGACGAAGCGCGCGTCTGCACTTCGTCCCATTGATTGCAAGGGGTTCTTGGAAACATTTGCATATTGATAAACGAGCGCGCGCGAACAACAATGTTTGCAAAGGATGAGGGAGTAGGCGAACTCCGGTCTGGAAGGGACGGCATGAATTCATATTTCGGATGGACGATGTGGCAGAATCATACGAAACTGCACATCCCCAGGGGTACAAATAAGTCACACCTCCGGAAGGTTTGTGGATCCTCATCTCCGAGAGAGCGTGATCCACCGCCGCTTTACTGTGGAAAATTGCCAACTTTTTCCTCCGGAACCCGGGGGTAGCCCCCCCCCCCCCCCCCCCCTCCGAAAATCCCCCCCCCCTGCTGGAAACCCTCCCCCCCCCCCCCCCCCCCCCCCCCCTCCTCCCCCGGCAAAGCCCCCCCTCCCCTAACCCCTCCCCCCCCCCCCCCCCCCCCCTCCCGCTCGAAAAAAACCCCGGGGGGGGTCCACTACGGTTTCGAACCCTCCCCCCACCCCCCCCCCCCCTCCGGATTCGGGGAAAACCGGGGGGGGTCACTACCGGTAGCGAACCCCCACCCCGCCCCCGCCCCCCCCCCGCTCCCCCCCCACCCCCCCCTCCCGCCCCCCCCCCCCCCCCCCCCCCCCCCCCCCTTACTCACCGCCAGCAAAGGACTCCGGATGAGACCACCGTCCCGCATCCAAATCCCCCACGGGTGTTCCCAGCACCACTGTCCTCACCACCGCTGTCCCCACTGGCTCCACCACCGCCCCTACTGTCCCCACCAGTGGCCCCACCACTGTCGCACTGCCCCCGCTGTCCCCAGAACTGTTCCCTCCACGGCTCCATTTTCCCCACTGTCTCCACGGCCCCAACCGCTGCCCGACTATCCCCGCTGTCCCCACTGTCCCACTGACTCCTCCGCTGTCCCGCTGAGCTGTCCCACTGTTCCCACCACTGCCCCCACTGTCCCCGCCACTGTCCCCGCTGCATCTCTGTCCCGCTGTCCCGCCGCCGTCCTCGCCGCCGCCTTCGCCACTGTCCCCACCACCATTGTACCCTCGACTGTCCCACTGTTTCCACCTCATTCCCATTGTCCCCACACCACTGTCCCCACCACCGCCGTCACCTTTTAGTGTCCACTGTCCCCCCTGTTCCCGCCATTGTCCCCACCACTGTCCCTACCACTGCCGTCCCCACCACTGTCCCACTGTCCCACTGTCCCCACCACTGTCCCGCTGTCCCCCCACCGCTGTCCCCACCAACACCGCCCCCACCACCCCACTCGGTTTTCGAGGGGGGGGGGGGTTTCGAACCACGTAGTAGTGACCCACCGTTTTCCGGATTCCGTGAGGGGGGGGGGGGGGGGGGAGGGGTTCGAAAACGGGGGTAGTAGTGGTAGGTGACCCCCCCCCCCCACTTTTCATGATGAGCAGGGGGGGGGGGGGGGGGGGGAGCCCACCCCCCTTGAACGTAGTGACCCCCCCCGGTTTTCCGGAGGGGGGGGGGGGGGGGGGGGGGGGGGGGGAGGGGTTCGAACCGGTAGTGACCCCCCCCGGTTTTCCGCCAGCAGCGGTAGAACACGCTCTTTCTCATCTCCTTTTCTAAAAAGAAGTGTCGACGTGGTGCAACCTATGTTGTGCAATATACGTGGCGCAATTGGTTTTTTACAAACGAGTTGACAACATCCATGCTCTTGCAAGCATCACACCCACCCACGTATAACTTGGTTTGCAAAACCCATGCGGCGGCGATTGCGATGAGTGCTTGGCGTCGGCTGGTGCATAACTGCGGCCGCGCTAGCCCGCGCATGCTCGCGCGAACAGCGGCCAGCTAACTTTGGCGCGACCGACGCTGCCGCGGTGGCGCTACCGCTGGGCACTTACCAGCAGGCACTTCGATGGGAGTCGGTGACTTGGGCGGGTGTTGTATCGTGGCGACGCCGACGACGGGAGGCGCGATGATAGGAGTAACGATGATTGTGACGATGGTGGCGACGACGACAGCAAGGTCGATGACGGCGCCGATGTTGATCACGTCCGCCGTGCAATCTATATGGTGTAATATTTAGCGGGCGGCGACGAAGCGGCCATGGCGGCGACGAGACAGCGACGGCGGCCACATGGCTGCCAGTGCGACAGACAGGCCCAGACGACGGGCGGCGACGAGGCGGCGACGGCGGCGACGAGGCGGCCACATGGCGGCCAGAGCGACAGACAGGACCAGACGACGGGCGACGACGAGGCAGCGACGGGGCGGCGACGGCGGCCACATAGCGGCCAGAGCGGCAGACAGGCCCTGACGGCGGGCGCCGATGACGCGGCGACGGGGCGGCGACGGCAGCCGCACAGCCGCCATAGCGACGGACAGGCCCAGCCCCCTTAGACGAGACGTGGGGACCCTCAAGTGCAAGCACTGTTGGGGGAAATAGACCTTCAAATTCCCCATGGCCGACACGTAGAGGCATGAAGGGCATGGATGCACGCGCGAAGAGAACTTGAGGGAGTACTGCCTGGCTGGCAGGGCCTGTGGTCAGGCACTGTCGCACAGCGCGTCGCGGCGGCGGCCCCTGCGACACGCGATGCCTTGCGAGCGGATAGCCTGTCGCTCCGCTCCGCGGGGCGGGAGGCTGGGAGCAGTTCGGGACGTTGACGCGCGGGGGCCGAGAAGTGGATAGCGCGTCGCGCCGAAGCGTGGTGCGCCAGAACCGGTGGGGCGACGCGCTGTCCCGAAGCTCCCGGCCGCAGACTCGCGACAGCACGCCACAGCCACGTGAGGACCAGTGAGTGCGTTCCGCTCTCCGCCCGGGCCTGCAGATTCCATCTTCGCCCCGCTGGAGCCTCTTTCCTCCCTCCACCTCCTCCTCCTCCCCCCACTCTTGCCCCCCGTTGGTCCCCCATCTCCTCCTCGGTCCCCTCCTCACTCCACTCCTCACGCTTTCCTCCTACAGTCGGATCTAGGCCAGAAGAACATCCTCCAAGAACATGAGACCCTCCAACAGCAAAAGCATACAGTACATTCTAGGGTACCCTCTCCAGGATGCACCAAAAACATCCAACAAACACTGAGAACACGAGGACACCCTCCCCGAACCGACGTCGATCTTATACCTTGGTCCGACTGTACATCATCCGTCTCCGCATCCTTCTGCCACATGTCCGTCCCAGTGCAGCGCTGCCTGCTCCGTTCGCGCCGACAATGCCAATGCGGCTGCTGAGGGTCAACTGGCACGTGGACCCGAGTCACAAGCAGGCAGGTTGGAGGGGGGGCAGTGGAGAGAGAGGCCAGAGGAGAAAGAAGAAGAGAACGTCATAGATGCATAGCGAGAGGAGAATCAACAGAGAGAGGGGGGAGCCCGAGAGACAGAGAGAGGGAGAAGAAAAGAGACAGAGAGAGAGAGAGCGGGGGAAAGAGAGAGAGAGGGGGACAGGGAGGGAGAGGGCAAGGGATGGGAAGCGATCGGGAAAGATCAGCAGCTTCCTTCGGGCTGCCAGGCCAGAGAATGCCCCCCCTCCGCACACGGTCGGCCCGAGAAGGCCGCCCCGATAGCCGCCTGCTGCGGCCACGACTCGCCCTGCCCTCGGAGATCCCTCTCCGGCCCAGCCCACCACCCGCACCCCCCCGACGGCATGACTTTTGCCTACTGCCGACCCCCGAGGCCTCGACCCTTTCCCCGGGACCCCTGCTTTCATCCCCAGTCGTTCCTTGACGGCCCCGAGGCCCGGTGAGGGCCCCCCGAGGCCGGCAATTGTGAAAAACCTGTCGTGATATATTTTTTTTCCTTACTCGAGGGGGTTTGGGACCGGAGCCCCACGAGGCACGACACTGTTGGAGGCTGCCGTCCCTCTGCAGGATGAACTCTGCGCCCTCTGCAGGGCCAACCCTCGGCGGGACTCCGGAGGCCCCCCGGGCGAAGGCGCTCGGCGAGGCGCCGCTGCAGGAGAGCGCATCCCGAGGCCCGAAGACCGCCGAGGAAGCTTACGAAGACGTCCCAAAAAGCCTCGAGTCTCTGAAGCTTTGCGCTGCCGCTGCCATTCCTCGACAAGCGCGTTCCACTACTCGCAGAGCAGCTGCTCGCAAGACGGCCTGGATCCGCCGCGGGGGGCTTACGATACATGGCATAGAGGAAGACATAGATTTGGTCCGGACATTTGCGAGTAGGCACTTTGCGAGTAGTGTAACGCGATGGGTGGATTCCTGACGGATCTGCGAAGCAGGTCGGCCAGGAGGGCGCAGGCTGGCCTCCCCACCGCCACAGGCTCCCGCGGGCCAGCTCTCTCTCTCTCTCTCTCTCTCGGCGGGCTGGACAGGGCGCCACGCAAGGGGACGGAGAGACCGGCCGCCGATGCCGTGCTCTTTTCGATGATCCTCCGAACGTGTGTTGCGGCCCGACCCAGGACAGAAGGGCATCCTTCCAAACATGAGAGCCTCCGCCGGCCTGAAGTGAAGAACATTCGAGGGTGCCCTCCCCCAGGATGCACACGAACATCCAGCAAGCACGAAAAAACATCAGGGTACCCTCCCCGAGCCGACCTCGACCTTGCACCTCGCTCCGACCGCAGCGCCAACGAGCGCGTGGTCCACCGAAGCCCCTCGGTACGACGCGGGTAACGCAATGAGGGCATACACGCGCTGCGCACGGTAGGTGGATCTGAACGGCGAAATACACACACACACACACAGCACACACGCAGCACACACAGCACACACACACACACACACACACCACACACACACACTCACACACACACACTCACACATTCAGACACACACACACACAATGTTTCCGTCGGCGGCGAGGCGGAGGCGGGCGGTCCGCACCAGCGTGTGGCGATTCGGGGCAACCGCCAATGGCGAAGTGGCCAGCATGCAGGAGAGTGGGGAGAAAGAGAGACGGACGGGGCGGCCGCAGAGGGCGGGGGGAGGCAGAGGGCACTCAAACCTGGAGTGATTCCCCGCAGAGGGCGCCGGCAACGGGGAAACCCACCCACCCACCTACCCGCCTCCCCCCCCCGAAAAAAGCCCCCGCCCCCCCCAGCACACACACACACACACACAAACACACGCAAAACACACACACACGCAACACACACCACACTCACACACACACACACGACACACACACAGCACACATCACACACACACACACACGCACACCGCACACACCCACACACACACACGACACACACCCACACAAACACACACACAACGCACGCACCACACAAACACACACACACACACCACACACACACACACACAACACAACACTCACACGCACACTGCACACGCACTCTCCACGCACACACCACACACACACACACACACATGACACACACACACACACACACACACACCACACTCACACACACATACTCCGATCACACACACAACACACACACACACACACACAACACACACACACACACACGCACACACACACACACACACACACACACACACACACACACACACGCACACACACACACACATTGGGCTAACAAACGTCCTGAGGATCCTCGATCTTTCCGTGCGCGGGATCTTTCCGTGCACGAGCCCCAGAGAGCCCCCGGAGACATTGGAGTCGGCCCCTGGCCTCGGGTGGGGGCGAAACCAACCTGGACGTCCGGCGTCTCGAAACACATCGGGACGGAGTTTTTGTTCGTAGTCTTGGGCCTCTCGGGCCCTGACCAGGCCTCGGGCCCGTCAAAAACCGACTCGGAATAAAAAACAACGGGCCCCGCGGACGTGGTCGAGAGGCCGGGGGCCCGCCTCGAACACATCGGCACGCCAGAGGTCTGTGCGGCCTCCCGCCTGTGGGGGTGGGAGTGGGCGTGGGGGGGGGGAGGCAACACCTCCAAGAACTTCTTCGTCGGCGGCGAGGCAGAAGCAGTCCGCCCCAGCGCGTGGCTCACCGGGGCAGCCGAACAGCCTCCACAGCACGCCGCCTGGGGGAGCCCATCCGCGCGCTGCCCTCGACGAGGCGCCCAGGCCCTTCCACAGGAGCGATGGCGCGCAGCCCCCCGGCGCGCTCCCCGACGGCGGCGCGCCACTGGTGCCCCATTCCCCGGGACCGGTTTCTTATCCCGAGTGCCTTTTTGACGGTCCCGAGGCCTGGCAAGGGCCCCCCGAGGCCGAAAATAATGAGAAACCTCCCGTCGTGATTTTTGTCGCTGCTCGAGGGGGTCTGGGAACGGAGCGCGAGAGCAAGGCTGAGTCGTCTTCAGCCCCAGCAGCTTTGAGGACAACGGGCAGCCGCTCCAACGTGCCTCGGCCCGGCGCCTCTGGAGCAGTTCGCGGGAACGTTGGTCGCGCAGGCATCCAGCGCCTTTGAAAATCAAGGCGGGGCTGTTGCCCCGCCGTTCCCAGACCCCCTCGAGCAATGAAAAAATTACGACGGGAGGTTTTTCACAATTTTCAGCCTCTGGGGGCCCTTCTCGGTCCTCGGGACCGTCAAAAAACGACTCAGGATGAAAAACCGGTCCCGGGGAATAGGTCGAAACCTCTGGGGGTCGATGTCATGAACAAATCATGACGTCAGGGGCCTGGGTTGGGAGCACACGACCCCATCTTCACTCTTCCTGCACCTACTCCCCTCCTTTCTCCTGCCTCCGAATTGCCATTCTGCTACTCCTCCTCCTCTTCACCCTCGTGTCAACAAGAGATACGTGCAGCGGCCCTGATCCCCGACTTCGTTGGGAAATTCGACGGGCCCAAGAAGTCGGGCCCAACCCAGGAATCGACGACTAGGGGGCGTCCATTCTCGATAAGGGTGCGTTCGAAAAGCCTCCCAGGAATGTATCCCCGAGTTCGGCTTCCTTTCGGGAAGGCCAAACTTTTGCACGGGTGAGCCCGGGGATCTTGGGGGCGAAAACTCGACTGCGCTCCTCCTCCCCCTCCCTTCCCCGCTGCTCCTTTCGATCTGCCTTTTGCCGACCTGCGTCCGAGGCGGACTGGGATCACGAACATTCTCCGGCTCCCGGACACATGCATCTGGCCAGGACACTCGCATGCAGCTAAAGAGTTGAAGCAGCCTCGAGAAGCGAGGCCAAACCAGAGCTGCAGGACACTGCCCACTAACGGGCCCAGACCCCGGACACATTTTTTTCTATATCACATCGTGGACTTCCAGAGGTCTGGACCCCTTCCCCGGCACCAGTTCTTCGTCCCGAACCTTTATGTGACGGTCCTGGGACCCGGCGAAAACTCTGGGAAGCAGAAGATTGCCCAAAACCGTCCATCGTGATTTGTTTGACGATGCGAGAAAGCCTCAGGGTAATACGGTCGGGAACTTTGGTTCCGGCCCACCACGCTTCGGCGCGACACGCTATCCACTTCCCAGCCCCCACGCGACAACGCCCCGAGCTTTCCCTGGGCCCCTTCCCCGCGGAGCGGAGCGGCACACTATCACCTCGCAAGGCAAGCAAACATTCCCATCGCAAGAATGAGTCATGGGAATGGACATTTCCATTCCCTGCTCCGCCCCCTCCTCCTCCTCCTGCTCCTCCTCCTCCTCCTCCTCCTCCTCCTCCTCCTCCTCGTCCTCCTCCTCCTCCTCCTCCTCCTCCTCCTCCTCTGACTGAAAGAAGCGCGCCGCAGACCCAGCCCTCTGCTGCCCCTGGCCTTGCACGTGACGTTCGTGAGGATCAGGGGGCCCTCCTCCTGCCCACGAGGCCCAAAGAGCGGCGGCGCCAGCGCAGAGGCATAGATAAAAGAAACAGCGCAAGCATGAACTGCCAGAGGTGTGCGCGGATCTCTTGGAGCGGCGCCCCTGGCGCCCTTCGCGCGACGGGGAGGGGTGTGCCGCGCTGACCTTAGAAAAAGCCGCGCGGGCCTCCGAACGCTTATGCTTAGAACTAATATGCCTACCTCCCTTCTTCGGCAGATCTCCCTCGACAGAGGTGGCCCTCAAAGGTGCCCCAGGCCCCCGGCTTCTCGCCCTGGCCACCCCTGGGCCTCGCGAGGGGCGCTCCGGCGGCCACCCGGGCCTCCCCGGACAAGCTGGGACCGCCTCGGGCCAGGGCCCCCTCTGCCGAAACGCCCAGCGGGCGGGTGGTGCAACTGGGGGGGGAGTAAGTGAGCAGGTATTGGATTGAAGTCAACAGCTGGCCACGAGCGTGATGGAACTGCACGAAACAAAAGCAGCACGGAAGACAGAGTACAACAACTCAGGCTGCAAGTGCACGCTCACCCAAGAGCATGCAATAGGGGGGGAACTGGGACCCGAACCTCCAACATCTGACGTCGCCGTTCTCAACCTCTGGGGGCCGTCATCGTGCCCCAGGACCCTCACAAGCTGCCCAGTATGAAAATCTGGGACGCAAGGGGTCGAGCACTCAGGGGCCACAACGTGAGGTCTGGGCCGGAGAGCCGCCAACGCCCTCCCAGAAGACCAAAAGGACGCCTCCACTGAGGGCAGGCGCCTTCTTTGAAGACCATCCTCCCCCCCACGCCCCCTCCCTCTCGGCACTGGGAGAACCTGCAGCGCCGGGAGAGGGGACAAGCTGAGGGCAGGCTGGGTGCGCCATCGGCAAAGGTCGGGGGTTGCTCAAGGTGCCCCTGGCCAAAGGTGCCCCCAGCTTTTCGTTCAATTTTGGAGCCCCTGGGGCCCTCTGGGCCTCGTGAGGGGTGCTCTGGAGGCCGTGGGGGCCTCCTTGGGAATCCTGGAGGCACCTTGGGCCAGGGGCACTTCTAGCAACACCCGAGCCCAGAACCCGACGTCATGATGTTTTCTTACGACGTCGCCCCCCAGAGGTCTCGACCCATTCCCCGCGACCCGTTTTTCATCCCGGAATCGTGTTTGGACGGCCCCGAGGCCCGGTACGGGCCCCCAGAGCCCGAGCACACAGCGATAAAAAACCTCCCGTCGTGGCTGTTGCATCCAGTTACTCCAAGGGGGTCGGGGTCGTGGTCCTCGTTGTACGCGAAGCTCACGTCCTTCATCTTCAAAAAAACGGGAAAACCCCCCCCCCCCACCCGCTTCGCTGGAAGCGGGTGCGCGGCCGCGCCCTCCGCTCCCCGCTCCCGCTGGGCCGAGGCCGCGCGCCAAAGACTGCTCGTCTCCCCTCGTCTCCTCTTCCGTCGTCCTCCTCGTCCCGCTCCTCTCCTCCTCCCCCTCCTCCTCCTCCTCTTCCTCCTCCTTCCTCCTCCTCCCTCCTCCTCCTCCTCCTCCTCCTCCTCCTCCTCCCCTCCTCCTCCTCCTCCCCCTCCTCCTCCTCGTCCTCCTCCCCCTCCCCCTCCTCCTCCTCGTCCTCCTCTCCCTCCTCCTCATCCTCCTCCCCCTCCTCCGCCTCCTCCTCCTCCTCCGCCTCCTCCTCGTCCTGCTCCTCCCGCGCCGCTCCTGCTCCTGCTCCTGTGATGTTGCTTTTGTCTGTCCCAGCCATCCTGTGGTGCTGGGCCCTCGTTTTGAAGAGAGACAGCGTCCCACGCCCACTCGCTCCCTACTCCCCCTCCTCCCTCCTCCCATCCCTGCCCGTGTCCTCCGCATGCGCGTGTCGGCACACCTCTCACACGCTTCGTGGCCCCATAGGGAGTTCCACCGAGGGCTCCCGTGGCAGGGTCCGCATGCGTCCCTCAACTCATTGCGGCGCATCCCTCCCACGCTTGGTGACCCGATAGGGAGCTCCAGCGAGGGCTCCTATGACAGTGTCCGCATGCATCCCACATCCCATATCGGCGCACCCCTCACACGCTTTGTGGCCCTGTGGAAGCCTGTAGGGAGCTCCACCGAAGGCTTCTGTGGCAGGGTCCGCATGGGTCCCCCAGAACATGTTGGCACACCCCTCACGCACTTCGTGGCTTCATGCGGAGCTCCACCGAGGGCTCCCGTGGCAGGGTCCCCATGCCTCCACTAGCGCAACTCGGCGCACCCCTCCAACGCTTGGTGGCCCCATAGGGAGCTCCGCCGAGGGCTCCTATTGCAAGGCCCGCATGCGTCCCAGCCCATTTCGGCATACCCCTCACGCTTCGCGGCCCCATAGGGAGATCCAGCGAGCTTCTGTGACAGGGTCCGCATGCGTCCCCCAGCCCAGCTCGGCGCTCGCCTCCCACGTTTCGTGGCACCAGTTGGGGGCTTCAGCGGGGGCTCCTGTGGTAGGGTCCGAATGCCTCCCCCAGGCCATTTCGGCGCACTGCTCCCACGATTCGTGGCCCCATAGGGAGCTCCACGGAGGGCTCATGCGGCAGGGTCTGCATGCGCCCCCATCCCATATCGGCGCACCCCATCCCACGCTTCGCGGCCCAACAGGGAGCTCCACCGAAGGATCCTATGACAGTGTCCGCATGCATCCCACATCCCATATCGGCGCACCCCTCACACGCCTTGTGGCCCTGTAGGGAGCTCCACCGAAGGTTTCTGTGGCAGGGTCCGCATGCGTCCCCAAACATATGTTGGCGCACCCCGCACGCACTTCGTGGCCCCAAGGAAGCTCCACGGAAGGGTCTTAGGGCAGGGTCTGCAAGCGCCCCCCGGCCCATTTCGGCACCCCCCTCACAAGCTTCGTGGTTCCGTAGGGAGCTACAGCGAGGGCTCATGTGGCAGGGTTCGCATGCGTCCCTCAGCCCATCTGTCGGCATACTCCTCACGCGGCTCGGTGCCCCCATCTGCAAGTCATGGGCCACATCCTTCCCGCGGCGCGCGGCGCGCGGCGTACGATGAAGGGGTCATACCATTCGTGAGTCGCAGCTGCATGTGGTTCGCCAACTTCCGCCTCCTCCTCCTCCTCCTTCTCCTCCTCCTCCTCCTCCTCATCCTCCTCCACCTCCTGCCACTGCTCTCCATGCTCCTTCTCATTTGGGGCCCTTCCCTCTACGCATCCTCCTGCAACTCTTCGTGACCCTGCTTATCATCTTCATACTGCTACTCCTGGCCATCCTGCCCAAAATCTCATCCTTCACCTCGTCCTGCTTCGTTCCCCCTCCTCCTCCACCTCCCCTCCTCCTCCCCTCTCCTCCTCCTCCTCCTCCACTCCGCCTCCGCCTCCTCCTCCTCCTCCTCCTCCTCCTCTCCTCCTCCTCCTCCTCCTCCTCCTCCTCCTCCTCCTCCTCCTCCTCTCTCCTCCTCCTCCTCCTTCCTCTCCTCCTCCCCCTCTCCTCCTCCAACCCGCCTACCGCCTCCTCCTCCTCCTCCTCCTCCTCCTCCTCCTCCTCCTCCCCTCCTCCTCCATCCTCCTCTCCTCCTCCTCCTCCTCCTCCTCCCCCTCGGTCGCCCTCCCTCCCTTCCTCCTCCTCCTCCTCCTCCTCCTCCTCCTCCTCCTCCTCCTCCTCCTCCTGATCAGACTCATCCTTCTTCTCCAGCCCCACCCAACACCCGAGTGGGGGAGGGGGGGGGCTCGGGCAAGAAGGGGAGAGAGAGGCGGCCAGGAGGGGGGGGAGGGGGAAGGAGAGGGGCGGAGGAGGGGAGGCGAACACTGAGAACAACACTGGATGGTGGCATTCGGCGCCTACGGAAACATCAAAGTCAGAATTGTGGAGGCACGTTGGCACCCCTCTCTGCAACCTTCCTCGGTGGCCGAGGGTCCATAGGGATGGCCTCGGCCCCCTCCGAAGCCTGCTCGAAGGGCGGCGGGAGCGGCGAGGAGCGCACGCCTGCGCTATGGCCCGACAGCTTGCCAGGGATGGGGAAGGTGATCTTCGCCTGCTTGTCGAGCGCTGCGGCTGTGAGGGCCAGGCCCGAATCGACCTGTGCGGGGGGTTCTCCGCCGCCCACCGTCGCCGCCACTGTCGCCGCCGCGGTCGACGGAGGACGATCGGCACCTGAAGAATGGGGCCCTGAGCGGCGACTTGCCAGAAGTGCTCCCGGCGAAAGGCGCCCCCAGTCTTCGCGCCATGCTGGAGCCATCGAGAGGGGATGCTCCCAGAGGCCCACCTGGGCCTCCCAGGAACTCCTGGGGGCACCTTGGGCCAGGGAGGCCCTGTGCAACACCCCGGCTGGGACATGGGACCCTGGGGCGGCGAGGGCTTGGGCAGTGCAGACTCGGCATGTGGTCCCTTTCCTATGCAAATTGGGCCCCCTCCCTCACCAAACCCCCTCGAGTAATGAAAAAATCATGACGAGAGGTGTTCGCCATGTTCGGCCTCTGGTGGCCTTTACCAGGCCTCGGGACCGTCTGAAAAAACGACGCGGGATGAAAAACCGGTCCCCGGGAAGAGGTCGAAACCTCCAGGGTCGACGTCATGACAAACTCACGACGTCGGGGGTCTGGACCTCAGGGCCCCATCGTCGAGCCAAAGAGGAGGAGGATCTCCAGGGGCGGGGCTGTGGTGCGCGTCGTGGGCTCACTGAAGCCTCCAGGCGGGTTGTGCAAGAGGAGAGGGCTATGCATGGAGGCCTCCCAGATGGGGACCGAGTGGATGGGGTCGGAGAGCCGCGCCGCACTGCCGACGCAGCGCGGCGACGTCGACGATTCATCGGCAACGTCAGCGTGGAAAAAATTGGGCTCCACATCGAGCCACATCGGCGATGTATCGGCGATGCGGCGCGATCCTTCGACCCCACCTGCTCGGACCCAACCTGGGTCCTCCTGCGGCACTGCTCGCGCCTGGGCCGACCCGCGATGCCGGCGACTCCGAAGGGGTGTGGTTTGCAAAAGGCGTGGCTTGCAACCCGCGCCCAAGGGGGCGGGCGGGCGAGGGGCGAGGACCTCGACAGAGAGCTCCGCCGGGCCTCGACGAGGGCTCCTCAAACCTTTAGCGCAGCGTGGTGAGCCCCCGTGAGCCCCCAACGGCGCCGATCGCAAACCACACCCCAGCTCCACCACACCCAGGCCTAGCCACACCAGTTACACAGAGGCCTCCCAGATGTGATCCGAGTGGATGGGGTCGGAGGATCTCGCCACATCGCCGATGCATCGACGATTCACTGGCGCCGTCGGCGTGGAGGAAATCGGGCTCCACTCCGAGCCGCATCGCCGATGCAGCGGCGATGCGGCGCGATCCTCCGACCCCACGGACTCGGACACTCGGACCCCATCTGCCATTTGCAAGACCCAGATTGTGGAACCAAAAGGTGCCGATACCGCTACTTCCCAGACCTCTCCCGGGGTGCTTCCTGACCATGATTTCGAGGCAAATTCAGCTGTGGCGACGAGGGCCTCCCAGCAAGCCGAAAAAGATGTAGACGGGCCAAGGGTAGCGGTATCGGTACTTTTCCTCCTCTGATAGAGTGTAGTCGCCGACGATGGGCCCGCCGACCGAAACTCCACGCGAGAAAGACGCCTCACTTGCGAACCGACCAGGGCGGAACACGGGACCTCTGGCTGGGTGGGCGCGGCGGCCTGGAGCCCCCCTGCGCGGGAGGCCAGCGGCGCTGGCCCACGGCCGCTCCCATCGGAGATCGTGGGACTCCAAACACCCCTTCACCCCACTTTCCCCCCTCCTCCTCCTCCTCACTCCTCCTCCCTCCTCCTCCTCCTCCTCCTCCTCCTCCTCGCTTCCTCCTCCTCCTCCTCCCTTTCCCTCTCCTTCCTCCTCCCTTTTCCTTCCTCCTCCTCCTCCTCCTCCTCTTACCTCCTCCTCCTCCTCCTCCTCCTCTTCCTTCCTCCTCCTCTCCTCCTCATCGTCAATCCTACGGCTCCTCCCCCTGTCCATCACTTGTATTATTCCCTTCCTCCTCCTCTTCCTCCTTTCTGATCATCCTCCTCCTTCTCCTCCTGCTCCATCTCCCTCCTCCCCTCCTCCTCCTCCTCCTCTCCTCCTCCTCCTCCTCCATCCTCCTTCCTCCCTCCTACGCTTCCTCCTCCTCATGCTCGTCTTTCCGCTCCTCCTTCGTCCTCCTACTACCTCACCTCCCCTCTTCCTCCGACTCCGACTCCGACTCCTCCTACCCTTTTCCTCCTCCTCCTCCTCCTCCTTCCTCCTCCTTCTCCGCGTCCTCCTCCGCGTTCCTCCCCTCCTCCTCCTCCTCCCCCTCCTCCCCCCTCTCCTCCTCCCCCTCCTCCTCCTCCTCCCCCCCTCCCCCTCCTCCTCCTCCTCCTCCTCCTCCTCCACCTCCTCACCTCCGACCTTGCCTTCGACCTCTTCGCCGCCTCCTCCTCCTCCTCCTCCTCCTCCTCCTCCTCCTCATCCTCCTCCTCTTCTCCTCCCTCTCCTCGGCCCCAGCCAGAGCCCATCCAGGTTGCAGGCATACGCCGTTTCCAAAAGATCGTGATGGAGGTTTCTCGTCGTCTTCGGGCTCTCGGGGCCCTCACTGGGCCTCGGGACCGTCACAGGAGTCGACTCGGGATGACGAACTGGTCCCGGAGAAGCGGTCGAGAGGTGGGGGCCCCGTACATCTCGAAAAAAAGAGAACTCGAGATGCCAGAGGTCTGGGAAGACCCCTTCGAGTTCGGGCGTCCCCGTGGCGGGCCTTCCCTGGGAGCCGACGGCGCGAAAAGATGGCAGCCCCGCGAAAGAGCACGATCGGGGCCCAAATACCCCCCGTCTTCCTGCTTACACCTCTCGAGCCCCGCATCATCGAGCTGTGAGGGCCCCCGGGGGCCCGAAGAAGTAGGGCGAAGACGCCCCGCTCGAAAAAAAAAAATCGCGACGCCGGGATCCCAGGACCCCCGACGTCACGATCGCTTCGTCATGGGGGCCACAGGCGAAGCCTACCCCTACCCCCCACGAGTTCTGAGGGGGAGGGTGGGGTTCACTTCGCGCGGGCCCCTACCCCCCACGAGTTCTGAGGGGGAGGGTGGGGCTCCCTTCGCGCGGGCGCGCTCCCGCACGAAGGGAACCCCCCACCCTCCCCCCCAGAGATCGTGGGGGGCAGGGGCAGGGTTCGCATGTGGCCCCCTATTCGTCGCGTCGACCCCCAAAGAGGTCTCGGCCAACTCCCCCGGGCCGGTGTTTCGTCCTGAATCGATGTTCGACGGTCCCGAGGTCCAGCAGGGGTCCCGGAAATAGCCAAAAGCCTCATGCTCTTCTTTCCCCTCCTCCTCGTCCTTCTCCTCCTCCTACTCCTCCTCCTCCTCCTCCTCCTGCTCCTCCTCCCTCCTCCTCCGACTCCGACTCCGACTCCTCCATCCCTTTTTCCTCCTCCTCCTCCTCCTCCTCCTCCTCCTTCTCGCGCGTCCCGCTCCTGCCTCCTCCCTCCTCCTCCTTCTCCGCGTCCTCCTCCTCCTCCTCTCCTCCTCCCTCCTCCTCGCTCACACCGTTGAAGGATCCATCCTCCTCCTCCTCCTCCTCCTCCTCCTCCTCCTCCTCCTCCTCCTCCTCCTCCTCCTCCTGCTCCTCCTCTTCCTCCTCCCTCTCCTCGGCCCCAGCCAGAGCCCATCTAGGTTGCAGGCATACGCCGTTTCCAAAAAGTCGTGATTGAGGTTTCTCGTCGTCTTCGGGCCCTCGGGGCCCTCACTGGGCCTCGGGACCGTCACAGGAGTCGACTCGGGATGACGAACTGGTCCCGGAGAAGCGGTCGAGAGGTCGGGGCCCCGTATATATCGAAAAAAAGAGCTCGAGATGCCAGAGGTCTGGGAAGGCCCCTTCGAGCTCGGGCGTCCCGTGGCGGGCCTTCCCTGGGAGCCGACGGCGCGAAAAAATGGCAGCACCGCGAACGAGCACGAGCGGGGCCCAATACCCCCCGTCTTCCTGCCACACCTCTCGAGCCCCGCATCATCGGGCTTGTGAGGGCCCCGGGGCCCGACCGAAGTAGGGCGAAAAAACGCCCCGCTCGAAAAAAAAAAATCGCGACGCCGGGATCCCGGACCCCTGACGTCACGACTTCTTCGTCATGGGGGCCACAGGCGAACCCTACCCCTACCCCCCACGAGTTCTGAGGGGGAGGGTGGGGCTCCCTTCGCGCGGGCGCGCTCCCGCACGAAGTGTGAACCCCACCCTCCCCCTCAGAGATCGTGGGGGGCAGGGGCAGGGTTCGCATGCGGCCCCCTACTCGTCGCGTCTACCCCCAAAGAGGTCTCAGCCAACTCCCCCGGGCCGGTGTTTCGTCCTGAATCGATGTTCGACGGTCCCGAGGTCCAGCAGGGGTCCCGGGGGGCCGGAAATAGCCAAAAGCCTCCCGTCGTGATTTTTCATGACTCGGAGGGGTCTGGACCAGGATCCCAGGGGTTCGCCCCCTCCCACCTGGTGGGCGGAGCACGCTGGGGGGGTCTCCGCACGGCAGGAGAGCCCAGAATCGAATCGACAAGTCGGAGCGGCGATCGAAACGAATCGCATCGGCGGAAACTGGCAGCCAAATCGAGAGACGTCGAATCGGCGGGAATCGGCAGGCTGCCACTGCCAAAACCGACGCCCACATCGGAATACGAAGCCGAATCGAATGGGATCCAGAATCAGTCGAATCGAATGGAAACGGTCCTCATCGAACCAACATCGAGTCGAAATCACACCGAATCGAATCGAACCGAAGTCGAATCGAAATCGAACCGAATCGAAAGCGAGGAGCGCCCAGGGCGGCGTGCCCGCCTCTTCCGCCGGGATGTCGGGGCTCTCGCCGAGGTCCACCTCGTTCCCGAGGAGCAGGGCCTCCGAGTCCTCGGCCGGGCGGGGGGTGATGGGCCCCCCTTCTCCACCACCACCACCAGCACCACCACCACCATAGGCAGGACGGGGGAGAAGGGAGGAGGGGGAGGTCCTCCTCCTCCTTCTCCTCGCACCCAAACCCGGGTCAATGCACCCCTGCCTCTGCATAATCCTGCAAGATCGGGCGCTCTGGCTGGCCCCCGCCTGCACTGACCCCCGTCTCCCGCGCCCCGAGCCCGCGCCAGACGGGTCACTCTGGCGAGGGGTCTCTCTCTCACGCGTGGCCCGTGCTGCCTCCGAGGGTGGGGGCACCAAGGCCGCTGCCCTCGCTCGGCTTGTCTGGGCGCGCGCCTCGGCTGCAGTCCTTCCGGCGTCGCCGCGATGCTGCGCACGCGGCTGTCGAGCAAAAGGCGGGAAAGGTGGTGGTGGTGAACGGTGGCATGAGCGTCAAGTTGTGCTCACATGCAAGCGCTCGAAAAGGGGAAAACAACCAAGGGCAAAAGAAGGAGGCCTCGGACGCCCCCGAAGAGAGAGAGAGCGTGATCCACCGCCGCTTTACTGTGGAAAATTGCCAACCTTTTCCTCAAGACCCGTAAGGGAAAAAAAGAGTAGGGAAAAAAGAGCGAAGAAAAGAGGAGAAAAAACAAAGAAGGGGTGGGCGGAAAACCCGGGGGTCCTCCGCCCCCCCCCGTCATCCGAAAAGCCCCCCCCCCCCCTGCGGAACCCCTCCCCCCCCTCCCCCCCCCCCCCCCCCTCTCCCCCCCGGCAAAAACCCCCCCCCTCACCCCTAACCCCCCCCCCCCTCCCCCCCCCCCCCCCCGCTCGAAAACCCCGTGGGGGTCCTACCGGTTTTTCCCCGAAAAACCCCTCCACCCCCCCCCCCCCCCCCCCCCCCCCCCCCCCGCCCCCCCCCCCCCCCCCCACCCCGCCCCTACCCCCTCCTCTCCGGATCCGGAAAAAACAAAAAAAAACAAAAAAAACCGGGGTGGGGGGTGCGGGGGGGGGTGGGGGGGGGGGGGGGAGGGGGGGGGGGGGGGTCACTACCCACCCCGCTACCCCCGTTCGAAACCCCCCCCAACCCCCTCCCCCACCCCTCCCCCCCCCCCCCCCCCCCCCCCCCCCCCCACTCACCGCCAGCAAACGACTCCCGGTCCCCACCACCGTCCGCATCACATCCCCCACTGGTGTTCCCAGCACCACTGTCCTCACCACCGCTGTCCCCACTGGTTCCACCACCGCCCCTACTTTCCCCACCAGTGGCCCCACCACAGTCGCACTGTCCCCGCTGTCCCCAGAACTGTTCCCACCACGGTTCCACTCTCCCCACTGTCTCCACGGCCCCAACCACTGCCCGACGATCCCCACTGTCCCCACTGTCCCACTGACTCCTCCGCTGTCCCACTGAGCTGTCCCACTGTTCCCACCACTGTCCCCACTGTCACCACCACTGTCCCCACTGTAAAAACCTCTGCCTTTCCCCTCTGTCCCCATTGTCCCCCACGGCATCCCAGTCCACAGACAGCCCACCGCCCGCCTCGCCCCCACCCAACCACCGCTTTCACCACTGTCCCCACCACCATTGTACCCTCCACTGTCCCACTGTTTCCATCTCGTTCCCATTGTCCCCACACCACTGTCCCCACCACCACCGTCACCACCACTGTCCACTGTCCCCCTCTGTTCCCACCATTGTCCCCACCACTGTCCCCACCACTACCGTCCCCACAGCTGTCCCACTGTCCCCACCACTGTCCCCCCCCCACTAACCTCCTCCACCGCTGTCCCCCACCTGTCCCACCTGTCCCCAACCACTTTCCCGCTATCATCCCCTCACCACTGTCCCCTCAACACAACACAGACCACTATACCGTCGCCGTCCCCCACCAACTGCACCCCACTTGTCCCGCCGGACCCCACACTGGTCCCCATCCACTGTCCCGCTGTCCTGTGACCGCTCCCGGGCTGGTCCCCTCACCACTGTCCCCACCAACCCGTCCCCACCACTGTCCGCCCCCCACAGTCTACGGTTTTTCTAGGGGGAGGGGGGGTGGGGGGGGAGTGGGGTGGGGGGGGGGGGGGGGGGGGTTCGAACCGGTAGTGACCCCTCCCCCTTTTCATGATGAGCTGGGGGGGGGGGGGAGGGGTTCGAACCGGTAGTGACCCCCCCCCGGTTTTCCGGAGGGGGGGGGGGGGAGGGGTTCGAACCGGTAGTGACCCCCCCCGGTTTTCCGCCAGCAGCGGTAGAACACGCTCTTTCCGAAGAGACGAAGTCAACCATCGGGCCAGAGGGTCGACGAAAAATGCCAGGGTGCTATCATCTGCGCCGTTGCTTGACGGCAGCACGGTTCGCTCGTATCGAATCGGGAGGGAGGGGGGAGGAGGGGAGGGCGCGAGGGTCCTGGTCTGATAGCTTCTTCGCCTCGCGGAAGTCCGCGAAGTTCCCGGGGTAGTACTCCTGCCATCCTGCTTCAGACCCTTCTCCTTGCCGCTCCTCCGGGTCCTCTTCTCCGAGTTCCACCCTCCCTCGGCCCAAGCCTGCTAGCTTGTCTAGTTAGGCGTTCGGGCGGCAGTTTGTGTATCATTGTGGGCGCACCAGGGGTAGTAGAACAAGCGGTCCAGACGGTTTTCCTCCTCCTCCTCCTCCTCCTCCTGCTCCTCCTCCTCCTCTTCCCCCTCCCCCCCCCTCACTTATTCTCTCACTGAGTCCCTATTCTGCCTACTGCCCGTTTCCTCTACACCCGCCCCCCCCTCCTCCTCCTTTCTTCTCCTCTCTCATCCCTCCTCACTCCTTGCCCCGTAATCATCCTTCCTCCTCCTTCGCTTCCCTCCCACACTCCGCTCCACTCGTCCCTCCCTCTCAGGAGCGCCAGCGCACAACCGCCGTCCACGAATAATTTCCCTTTCCCCCTCCCCAACCCCGCTTCCGCGCTTCCTGGAGAAGGAGGAGGAGGAGGAGGAGGAGGAGGAGGAGCTACACCCAAAGGGGCCGTGACACGCCGAGACGAAGCGGACGCCCCGCTCGACGCAGCACGACGCCAGCGCAGGTACCACTTGTCCACCCAGCTGGGAGGGAGGAACAGGGAGATGGGAGAGAGGGAGAGGGAGGCGGAGGCGACAGGAGGAGGAAGGGGAGGAGAAAGGAGTCTTCCGAGGCTTGAACAAATATCTAAGCTTCTCGAGGCGTATGAGGCTCAGCATTCAGCATGTGGCGAGTCTCGCACGTGGGAGGACAGGTCCCAAAAGAGAGGAACGACGACGACGACGGCGGCGACGACGACGACGACGAGACGCGACAAAACGACGGACGGTGAAACAGGCTGCGACTCGCCTGCATTCGCAGGCGTCGGCGCGGCAACAGCTTAAACAGAGAAGGGACTACTGAAAGGCACAAGCACCAGACTACACAAAAAGCATCGCGGCTTGCACTGCCGCCACAGCGTCCCAACGAGCCGAGTCATTTCACACATGAATGTGGGCATTCTCAAGTACCAGGGATCTATACCTTTGAGAGAGCGTGATCCACCGCCGCTTTACTGTGGAAAATTGCCAACCTTTTCCTCCGGAGCCCGGGGGTCTCCCCCCCCCTCCGAAAATCCCCCCCCCCCCCTGCCTGGACCCCCCCCCCCCTTCCTCCACCGGCAAAAAACCCCCCCCCCCCTCCCCTAACCCCTCCCCCCCCCCCCCCCTCCCCCCGAAAACCGAGGGGTCACTACCGGTTCAAACCCCTCCCCCCCCCCCCCTCCTCCTATCCGGAAACCGGGGGGGTGTCACTACCGTTGGAACAAACCCCCCCCCCCCCTCCGCCCCCCCCCCCTCGAAAACCGGAGGGGGGTCACTACCGGTTCGACCCCCCCCCCACCCCACGCACCGCCAGCAAACGACTCCCGGTCCCTACCACCGCTCGCATCACATCCCCCACTGTTGTTCCCAGCACCACTGTCCTCACCTGCACTGTCCCCACTGATTCCACTACCGTCCCTATTGTCCCCACCAGTGCCCCCACCACTGTCGAACTGTCCGCACTTCCCACCACTGTTCCCACCACGGTTCCACTCCCCCCACTGTCTCCACGGACCCAACCACTGCCTATCCCCACTGTCCCCACTGTCCCACTGACTCCTCCGCTGTCCCACTGAAAATCCAACTGTTCCCACCACTGTCCCCACTGTCCCCACCACTGTCCCCACTGTACCTCTGTCCCATTGTCCCACCGCCGTCCTCGCCACCGCCTTTACCACTGTCCCCACCACCATTATACCCTCCACTGTCCCACTGTTGTTTCCACCTCATTCCCACTGTCCCCACACCACTGTCCCCACCACCACCGTCCCCACCTGTCCCACTGTCCCACTGTCCACTGTCCCCCCTGTGCCCACCATTGTCCCCACCACTGTCCCCACCACTACCGTCCCCACCACTGTCCCACTGTCCCACTGTCCCCACCACTGTCCCGCTGTCCCCTCACCACTGTCCCCACCAACACCGTCCCCACCACTGTCCGCACCCCACTCGTTTTCGAGGGGGGGGGGTTCGAACCGTAGTCCGGTAGTGACCCCCCCCCCTTTTTCATGATGAACTTGGGGGGGGGGGAGGGGTTCGAACCGGTAGTGACCCCCCCCGGTTTTTCCGGAGGGGGGGGGCCCCCCCCCTCCGGAAAACCGGGGTTCGAACCGGTAATGACCCCCCCCGGTTTTCAGCCAGCAGCGGTAGAACACGCTCTTTCATACCTTTAGGAGTTCCGTGTTCAATGAGACCATCAACAACAATCTGCGGGCTCGGGATCGCTTCACGCCCCAGGTCTTGACCCGCACGGGAGCCCTGGCCAGTCATCAGACTTGCAAGACTACGCCTCGCTACCCGTGCACGGTTTGGGCATACCTGCTGCAACTCGACAACGTTGGTAGCACTGTCGTGCCCACAAGCTCGGCAGGAAACGTATTGCGACCATGCTCTGAGTGCGTGACCATAGCCCATAGCCATAAGGGGCTTGACCTTCAGCTTGCGAGAGACCGAATTAATCGTTGCCGGAGGTCCAACAAGCTATACACCTAAACTCGCCATCGCTCGGACGTCTATTCCCTGTGCATGCCTCCGTTTCGCGTGTTTTTTTCATGAGGTGATCCACTATGCTCATCGATGGCCCTCGCCGAGAAAAAATGCACACGTCTGAGCGATGCCAAGGAAACCTCGACTTTTTCGTGTCCCAGGCCACTTGGTGGCCAATCGCCCAGGGAAGGGCAACAAACACCGACCCAAGAGCAGGGGGCCCCAAGGGAGGAGAGAGGGAGGGGCACGGGACACGTCTCGAATACAGTCAAAACGTGCACTAAGGACGGGTGGCAAGGACGCAAACCCTTGGAGGCTGAAGTTGAAGTTGGGATTGTTGGACGGCAGGCGGCCAGTGCAAACGGCAAAGGACCGGCCGCAGAGGCATGGACACAAGGGTACCCTAGATGAAGGCACACGTCCCTACTGGACGCGTTGACTGTAACTTCAATGCGTTAGACACGACATAGGCAATGAGCTTAGCAAATTAGGCGCAACTATTGTGCTGCGCTTGATGCGCGTCAGGGTATCGTCATTAAGCATATGAGGGGCGGGTCCACTAGAGGCCTCCTGGATGGGGTCCGGGTAGATGGGGTCGAAGGATCGCGCCGCATCTCCAAGGCATTGACGATGTATCGGCAACGCATCGGCGATGCATCGGCGACGTCGGCGATGCATCGGCAACGTCGGCATGGGGAAACACGGGTTCCACATCGAGCTGTATCGTCGATGCATCGGTGATTCGGCGCGATCCTCCGACCCCATCTACTCGGACCCAAAACCATCGAAACCCAAGAAACCCAGGGCACCCTGGAGGCAAACAGGGTGCTTCTTGGAATGGGCCTCCACTGTATGGGGGAGACGTAAGACTCGGGTACGGGGGACTCGGGTTGGCCTGACGGGGCCATCATGACAATGACGAGAACCAATCTGAAATTTGACGCGAGCTCCCGCTGCAACCATCCCACGAAAACCGGACCGTCAAAATCTAGGACGCGCTTGTCAAAAAACGTCGGCAAACCCGAGTTCTGGCTTACTCGAGTCTTACGTGTCCCCGACTGCAGACCAGGCTCCCATGATTTGCCGCCGAAGCAGTAGGGCACCGACCTCGATCTGCGGAAGAGGGGGGAGAGGAGGAGGAAGTGTGGTCCATCAGACCGCAAATGGGGGATTCGGGCGGAGGGGCCCGCGTGGGCCCCAGCTGCGGCGGCGAACCTCGCTGCCCCCGCGGCACCAAGCGTGCCGCTGTCGCCTCGCCTCGCGCGCGCGCACCGCCCTCGCGCGCGGCACGGGCCGAGAATGAGACCGATGTTTCCCGGCTGCCTGAGGAGGACAAGGTCCCCATACATCTACCCTTCGCCCGCTTTCTCTATGTTGAGCCTCCCCAGAGGCCCTTAGTGCCACCGCTGGATACGCCTCGAAATCCTGGTCAGAGCGCACCCCGGGAGAGGTCTGGGGAGTAGCGATATCGGTACCTTCTGGCTTGAACGGGCTGGGGTGAGGAGGGGGACGTGGGAAAGAGGAGGCCCTCTCGGAAAGCTCGGAACCCCCCCGGCCTCCTGAGAAGTGTTCGAGGCCTTCCTCGAAGATACGGAAGACTTCTCAGAAGGCCAGAGGGCTTCTGAGAAGTCCCGCCGCCTTCTGAGTAGGCCTTCTCCTTCTTATTTCCTCACTCTTTCGTGTTCCCTCTTTCTGTCCATCCACTTGCATGTCCCCCCCCCGACCCACCCCTCCAGCGTCTTCTGCCCGCTGTACTGGATGATGTCGGTGCAGACCTGGCCAGACGCTTACGGCCGATCACTGGTTCCAGGAGGTCGCATGGCAGCAACACGACAGGTGGCGCACACACAGAGGGGTGGAAGTCTAGAGAAGGATCAGAGCTGGGGATACAGAAAATCGTCACTCAAGACCTGGTGGCCAACAATGCCCCGATAGCACACACTTCCGTGCTTCAACTCTTGGAGGAGTGATTCTGGAGAGTCGACATCCTCATTCCCCACCCCTGCGGCCCCGTTCCCGTCCGTCCGGCCGTCATTGCATTACAGTGCAATCGCATTGCGCTGCCTTTGTGTTGTCCTTGCGTTGCATTGCAATCGCTTTACATTGCATTGCGTTGGATTGCTTTGCAGTTGCGATGCTCTGCATTGCTTTACATTGCGTTGGATTGATGTACGTTCTTTCGTATCGCAGTGTGTCGCTGTGCGTTGATGTGTGTTGTATTGATGTGTATTGCAGCGCGATGCCTTTGCATTGCTCTGCATTGCGTTGCATTGCTGAGCATTACGTTGCATTGATTTGCATTGCTGAGCATTGCTGTGCATTGCATTGCATTGAGTTGCATTGCATTGCCTTTCGGTGCGTTGCGTTGTATTGCTTCGCGTTGTTGAATTGCGTCGCATTACTTTGCATTGCATTGCATTGCGTTATAATGCTTCGCATTGTGTCGAGTTGCGTTGCATTGCTTGGCATCGCACCGCGTTGATTGGCATTGCTTTGCATGTATGTGCATTGCAGTTGAATTGACTGGCATTGCACTGTTTTGCTTCTTTGCGTTGCACTGCTTTGCATTGAGTTGCAGTGCGTTGTATTGCTTCGCATTGTGTTGCAATGCTTTGTATTGCGTTGCGTTGCTTCGGACTGATTCCCCTTTGTATACACACTACTCCGCCCCAGGGTGTATTGCTACCCCCTGGGATATAACAATCATCGTATTAGTGTACCCCATCGTTCGCTTTGCATATGAATTCGTGCCATCCTATAGGATACCCAAATCACCCCCCCGCATCTCTGTCAAACAATACAATGCTCGCACCCTCGTTTATTAGAAAAACAATTTGCGAACATTCTTTGCAACAGCTTACACAGCCCGCACGCGCGCATGCCAACATCCGTCCAAAATTTTGGTTGTCGTGAGGATGGCAAGGTCAGCGTTCCCGAAAGCCAATGGTTGGTTGACTATTGCTTGCGACCAAAAATCTGCGCTCGCGCTCTTGCGGATTCTTCTGGCAACCACAAGTGTTCAACTTCTTCGTCAACTGACGCCACGCGGGCCTGTCGCGCATGTCGACATCCGGCGAACGCTACTGCGCATTTGCTGGGGGGGGTGGGGGGGCACAATCCCTGTCAACCTATTCCGACGCATGCCATTCGCGCGGGTCGGCCGCGCGCGCATGTCCAAATCCTCCCAACCTCTTCATCAGCAACAAATTGACGTCATCACCGTCATCGGCGTGACCAGCATCGGCGCCGTCATTGGCCTTCCCATCGTCATCGCCCTCATCGCCACCATCACCTTCACTGTCCTCATCGTTTCCGCTGTTGCCGACGTCATCATGATACTGCGCCCGCCCGAGTCACCCACCCGCTCTGAAGTGTCCGCGCGCCAGCGCGGCCTGTGAGACGTGCTGTGAAGTTATCATGGGTCAGCGCCACCACGTCCGCGTCGGCCGTGCCAAACTAGCTCAGCGATCCGCGCGCGAGCTTGCGCGCGCTACCGCGGCCGCAGAGCTGCGCCCATCAGCGCCAAGCAGCCATCGCAACCGCCGCAGCGTGGGTTCTGCAAACCAGGTTGCGGGTGGGAGGGTGGGACGATTGCGCGAGCAGTGTGACAACCACAAGTTCTGCAAACTGTATTTGCACCGCATAGGTTACACCACATGGACTGCACCACCCAGATTGCAGCACATGGATTGCACCACCCAGACTGAACCTCACAAATTGCAAGATTCAACTGTTTGGAGTCCACGCCGGCTAACATAGGTAAACACACGCCCCGCTCCAAAGCCCTGAATCCCCCAAAACTTGCATCTCTCTGGGGGGGGGGCAATCCCACCTGCCATCTGGACGTAATTTGTTTACCGACTCAGGTCTTCCGACCTCCTCATTCCCGTCGGGAAGAGGTTCACCTCTCTTCACTCCTACGCACCCTCCCTGGTGAGGGGGCGTTCCGCGAGGGGTCGAAGGATCCAAGATGGCTCAAGATGACCTCAACAGGGCCCCAGATAGCCAAAGGTGGCCTCCAAGATCGCACAAGCTAGCCCAAATTGGCTCAAGACAGCTTCCAACATACATCCAACAATGGGCCCAAAGACTGCCCCAAGACGGCTCCAAGTGACCACGCAGCCTGCAACGGAGTCCCCCGAGAGGCCAGCATCTGTCCCAAACAGAAGACAACTAACTCTACACCGTTTGGCTTGTCCCTTTTCGCGCCCGATGGGCTCTCAAGGACTCGAGATGGACTCCAGGTGGCCCAAGCGGGCCCCAGGAGGGACCCAAGAGGGGCCCAAGATGGCCCCAATAGCGCCCAACAGCGCCCCAAGAAGGCCCCAAAATGCATCTGGCCGGCCTCCGACAGGGGACGCTCATCGGGGCCGCCCCATTGTTTTCTCGATGGTCCACAAGATGGCCCCAAAAGACCCCACGACGGCCTGTTGGCCATTTTTAGATGAGCTGGTGGGGATACGCGAAACGAACGTCAAGAATGTTTGGCTCCGCCCACTTCCGCCAGCCATTCCCCCGCGGAGCCGCCCTCGCATTTCTCGCGATAACTTCTGCATGTCGCCCCCCAAAAAAGCATGATCCTTAGATCTTTAGAGCTCTCAGATGCAAGGCCATGTCTGTGGCGCCCTTTACCGACGTGCCAGCTCACTTTCCGCATGTGTGACAGGTCCACTGCGTCAACTACTGAACGATACAGTACAAGCTGATACTTCACATTCATGTTCGTAGTTTCGCAGTTGGCGATAGCTGGTGTGCCTCCTGGCCCAGCACCATCAAGCCGAAAGAATTGCGCTAGGCTCCCACTCACCACACCGGACGGGCCAACAAATCATACCAACCTCTCTGTTCGTGTCAGCGTGAAACGCGTAGGCTGCGCTGAGAGAATTTAACCGGGGCAATGACAGTCAGACTGTCATAAGCTGACAAATGGCAAAGCAACCCATTCATCACGATGAAGCGAGGTTGGCATGGCAGACAGGTGCCAGCTCTACTACCAGCGCGAAGATTCAACGATATGGTGTTGCCTTCGGGTCAGGTCAAAAAGCTCTGGTACATTGCAACATGAGAACGACAGGTGGTAAAACAAGCGACGGCGTCAAGAGAATACTGCAGACAACGCAATCTCACACGCCGTGGCCAGTGGGGCATCAGAAAGGTATTTCATGGCTGGACCAGCGCCGGAGCCATTGGCAGGGACGCTGAAGGGGGGGCGTGGTGAGGGCGCCAGTATGGGTATAGCCACGGCCACTAGCTGGATCGCCACCAAGGGTGTGTATCTTTGCGTCAGCGGGCACGCCCGTGCGCAGTTTAAGTGCCTCCGCCCGACCGCAGGAGTGAATGTGCGACGTCGGGGGCTCCTGTAACAGCGCGTGGCGCCAAGCGCTAACAAAACGCGACGCGTTGAACAAGATCGATACGTGGACAGACGCGAACCAAGCGACGACGACTGGACAAGAACATATGACCAATCGGCCGAAGCGCGGCTCACCAGTGGTCGGTGCGTCGCCCGCGAGGCACCCACCAGACCAGAACGGGTGGGGGCGCGCGGCGTATACGACGATCGGCTGGGGCGCTGCGGGGCGATGCCACATGAAACACCTTGAAGCGCGCGCGACGCCTTGGTCGCGTTGTCGAAGATGCGAGAAGAGCACAGAAATAATCAGCGAAACGGGCACAACAAACATCGGATGCTACAAATCAGGCTAACAAGATAGGCTTGGCATGCCGACAGTCCCGTTCGTTCCTGATGCGGGCTCCCCATGGAAGACGCCAGCCAGCCTCGTTCAGGAAGTATGGGTCGTGCGATATGACCATGAGGGTGCTCTGTGTCAGTGACACCAAGTACTTCGACAGCCACGCGACGGACTCCTCAAAAACAAGCTGCGAGGTGGACAGACAGGAGCACGAGGCAGCTCGAAGAAGGGTTGGACGTTCTAAAGCATTAGGAGACAAGGGCAACTTGGACGCGGAAAGAGTAGCGGGCACGAGGAGGATAAGAAGAGGCAGAGGGGCCGCAGCAAGTGTTAAGGGAAAGACACCATCACCCAATTGTGCCGCCGTGCGAATAACATGTGGACGTGAATGCCTCCTGCAAAATGACCTCTTCGGAAGTCTGGTTAATCCGTGCTCTCTTCCGCAAGACTGACGTAGTTTTTCATTGAGATCAGGGGTGCTTCTTCCGGCAGGAAAAAAACACAACACCTCTCACTGCACGAGCACATCGCAAACATCATGTGCCATCTGCCTCCAGCAGCCTCCTACAATTTGAACAGACCCACGGCATTTCGAAACACGAAGACGTCCACTAGACTTGGGTATCGCAAGACGACTCTGAAATCTGTACAGTGCTTCAAAGCCCTGAGGCCATCTAGTACGACCTTCAAAAGTCCCCAGAAATATGGGAAACGTATCACTGTCCCATGTTGCTTGCCTGACTACCGATTTGCACTCAAGAAATTCCAGCGTGACTTTAAGGCGGCCCTGCGGGGCCTTCCAAGATGTGAAGAAAAACTAGCACGTTCCCCGAACATGATATAACAACAAAAAATTAGAAGACGTCGGGCCAACTTCGGTGGGCGGCCGGGTTCTCGGATTCCTGGTTCCAGGTCGTTCGACGTACTGAAGAAAATCGGCAGACATGCGCCAGACTTCGGGTGGCGGCCTGCTTCTCCGGAGATGCCCCGAGAAGACCTCGGTACGGCCCCAGGAAGCCCGATGAGGGCCTAAGGTGCCGCCAAGAAACGCCCAAGACAGCGCACGAGGGCCCAAAGAGTTCCCCAAGAAGGCTTAAGACACTCCTAACTCAGCCCCGAAGACCCGAAGAGGCCCTCAGGAGCCCATGAGGGCCCTGGAAGAGGTCCCAAGAAAGGCCTCGCTCAACAAATGCTTCTCGCCCCTGCCGAGCCACAGGAGGCGGCGGTTGCTCGACGGAGGCGTCCTCGCTGAGGGAGGACTGGGGGCAGTGAGGATGTGGTGGCAGCACGCGCCGTGGCGTCTTATCCCCCCCTCCCTCCATCCCCCTACGATGAGAAACTGTTGTTTAGCGTGTCGCGGCGGCGGCCTCGACACGCTGAGCCTTGCAAGCTGGTAGCGCGTCGCCCTACCTCGTTGGACGGGAGGCTGGGAAAAGCCTGCAGCGTCGAAACCTGGGGACCGGGACGTGCTTCGCTTGTCGCGCCGAAGCGTGGTGGGCCGAAGCCAGCAGCCAGACACTCTAAGCAAGCGTTCTTGATGATTGGCTGCTCCCAAGCTGCCTGCCAGACCCAGGCTTCCTACCTGTCCTGCCCTTCCACGACCCAAGACGGCCATGCGGCCTGCCACGCCCTGCCACGACAGCCCGCTGCCATGATGGCCTCCTACGACTGAAATTCCCAACAGACATTGGCAGCGGCTGGTGCTGCAGCTGCTGCAGCCCACGGCTTCTGAAAAATACAGTGCGCTGCAACGGTCACAGAGAAATCCTGGTGCTTCCTGGGGGATTCAGACCTTCCCAGCACTGGACTGGAGAATGGTGTTCTAGTGCCTGCAAGCATGATCACGTAATACCTGTTGCGACAAGTCCATATCATATGCTCACTAGAAAAACCTGTGCCGCAAAATGCTGCACATTGTGAGGATCGTGCTCTCTACACCAGCTACGACAGACCGTGTTGCAAGGGCTGTGCGCGGAATCCCTGGCGGGTAACGCAAAATCGTTTCGTATACCTCAGATATGGTCACTGACGCACAGGGGCATTCGAATGAAATTACCCCAGTGCGACCCTATCTAGAAGTTGGAGCCCCTAGGAAAGCAGCATTAGTTGCTATGCTATGATATGCTATGCTATGCCATGACATGCTTTGCTGCGCTATGATATGCTATGCTATGCTATGCTAAGCTATGCTATGTCATGCTGCGCTGTGCTATGCTAAGCTATGCTATGATATGCTATGATATGCTATGTTAAGCTGCGCTATGCTATGCTATGCTATGATGAGCTAAGACGAAGCTAAGATGAAACTAAGCTAAGATGATATAACATTAAGCTAAGATGAAGCTAAGCTAAGCTAAGATGAAATAAGCTAAGCTACGATGAGATAAGCAACGCTAAGCTAAGGGGACGTAACTGGGGGAACCGCGAGGCGGATGCCGGGGGAACCGCCCGGGGCGGGTTCCACTGCCCTGCCCCTTTAAGCTAGACGGTAAGAACCCTTCTAGGCAGAGCCTAGGTAGGGAAAACCCAGCGCGACATCCAGGAATCATCACTGAATTCAGACCTTGCAATGCGAATTTAGTAGGAATGCCTGCTGGGTCCCACATTTGGCCCATGGTCTGGATCACCTGAGATTCTGCGTGAATTCCAAACACCAGGTTTTATAGAACTGCGCTGGCCAGTGTGCACCTACAGCGTTCATCGCTGATCACCCAAACCCAATCGAATGCACTATTTGGGTTTTCGCCTGACTAGCTGTCCGCGGTCAACTTCCAGTCCTTACATTCGCGCCCCCCAAAAAAGACTCGCACGTCAACTCCTGGAAACCCGGAGCGTGATGCATTCACTCTCCAGGCGCCCCCGAGCCCCGAGGTCAAGCCGTAGACACGTATGTTTGTGCGTTTGCCCTCTAGGTAGATGCCACCTTTGAGTCTGTCCCCGTACTGGCCTCAATCATGAGGCATGGTGCTGTCAAAGCGCATAACAAGGATGCGCGGTAAAGATGCAAGGGCCTTGTAAGGCCATGCTGACGTTTTTCGAACGGGTCCCGGACGAAACCCACAGGGGCTGACCAGCGATAGGTGCCAAAGATGGGCCGAAGGGGCAAGGATGCACGGGTAGCCTTGGAAAACTGCTCATCTTTACTATGCCCTTCGACTGCATCTGTGTTGCGCTGCCGTTGGCATTGGCGCAGACAACCGGGTCTGCACTGCAACGTACGCTGGGGGCGTTGGCACTGGCACAGTTCGCTGATATTTGCTAGACTGCCTATGGTCGCTTGGTACTTGCTTGTCCCGCTGCTAACTCTATTGGCTGGTGATGTTGTCAGAATGCTGCTGTTTGTCGTTGATGCCGTCGTTGCGGGTACCCTTCTCTGGACATGTCCCTTCCACCACCGATTCGAATTCGCTACTATCGGGGGTCGTAAGGATGTCATCGTTCGTGTGATGTCCAACTGCTGCCGTCGCTGTTGCTTGTGATGCTGCAGTTGCCACAGACACTGTTGGGGTCATTCTGACGGACCTGAAACAACATGGATCGCATATATTCACCTCTCGATGTCTATGCTTGTGGTCGCGCCTGGAGCCCCAAGGACCAAGGGATTGGGCGCAGAGAGGTGGATGCAAGAATAGCCAAAATTCTTACGGGCAGAGTAGGAGCCACCCTTAGCAAATGCTCTGGAAAATGTGCGATTAGGCACAAGCAGGAACCACGTAAAGCGTGACACACCAACACAAGCAGTGCAAATGTTGATGCCGCATTGACATTCGCCATTGCGCACTGCATCCCGACGCACAACCAAAGAAGAGACGCCCCCATGGCAACTTATACATCCTCCTCGCACGGAGAATGGGATGTATGATTCAGGGTAGCCCCCCCCCCTCCACCCCGATGCTAATGGGCTCAGTTCCCCCCCCCGCCGATACCCCCCGAAAGGATATGGTATGGTGCTGCGGCTGTGGTGAGGTGCTGCGGTGCCCTCCCCTCCCCCCCCCCTCCAATGGGTGTGGTGTGATGCTGCGGTGCCTCAGGGAGCGGGAAGATAGCAACCGTCCAGCGCACGGGAACTCGCCCCCCCCCCCCCACCCCCCTCCAATGGGTGTGGTGTGGTGCTGCGGTGCTTCAGGGAGCGGGAAGATGGCAACCGTCCAGCGCACGGGAGCTCCCCCCCCAAAAAAGGGGTGTGGTGTGGTGCTGCTGTGCTTCAGGGAGCGGGAAGATGGCAACCGTCCAGCGCACGGGAGCTCGCCCCCCCCAAAAGGGTGTGGTGTGGTGCTGCGGTGTTTCAGGGAGCGGGAAGATAGCAACCGTCCAACGGACGGGAACTCGCCCCGCCCCTCCAATGGGTGTGGTGTGGTGCTGCGGTGTTTCAGGTAGCGGGAAGATAGCAACTGTCCAGCAAACAAAGAAAAAATAGAAAAACACAAAAGAACATAACCCAGAATCCAACAAAACCCAAACACACCAACATGTCCAACCATAAATCCAAAACCATAAAAAAAATCCGACACAATCCAGCATACCAAAACAAAAAAACATCTCAGCCCACGGATCCTCTACAGAACAGAAAGACGCAAACGGTAACACGCCCCCCCCACACCCCCCCACCCACCCACCCTCCAATGGGTGTGGTGGGGTGCTGCGTTACTTCAAGAAGCGGGAGGATAGCAACTGTCCAGCGCACGGGAACTCGCCCCCCTCCCCATCCAATGGGTGTGGTGTGGTGCTGCGGTGCTTCAAGGAGCGGGGAGATGGCAACCGTCCAGCGCACGGGAACTCGCCCCCCCCCAAGGGTGTGGTGTGGTGCTGCGGTGCTTCAGGGGGCGGAAAGATGGCAACCGTCCAGCGCACGGGAGCTCCTCCCCCCCCAAGGGTGTGGTGTGGTGCTGCGAGGCTTCAAGGAGCGGGAAGATCGCAACCGTCCAACGCATGGGAGCTCGCCCCCCCCTCCAATGGGTGTGGTGGGGTGCTGCGGTGCTTCAGGGAGCGGGAAGATACCAACTGCCCAGCGCACGGGAACTCGCCCCCCCCCCCCCCCTCAAATGGGTAGGTGGGGTGCTGCGGTGGCTTCAGGGAGCGGAAGACAGCCATACTGTCCAGCGCAACGGAACTCGCTCCCCCCGCCCCCCCCCCCCTCCAATGGGTGTGGTGTGGTGCTGTGGTGCGTCAATGAGCGGGAAGATGGCAACCGTCCAGCGCATGGGAACTCAGGGTTCTGGTGTGGTGGTGTGATGCTTCAGGATTATCGTCGTCATCATCGTCGTCGTGGTCTTCTTCGGCGTCGTCGCCCCCCCGTCCAATCTGAGGGGGCCAGAAAACCCTGGCTGGGATTCTTCCCATCGGGGAGGGGCTCGTGATACCTCGACCCAGGATCAGATACGGAGGACGGAAGATGGGGACATAAAGCCCGTGTGGTCCATACTGGCGACTGACATACACAGACTTCGAATGAGCAGGGCCGGAGCAAGTGAGGGCACTGACCATTGCATGCCCGTCTGGCGCTGGATAATGCCAGAGGGTGGGATCAACCACGGTCGACCTCATTCGAAGGGAACTAGCGCAAGCTCCCAGCACTGTGTTCCGAGCAAGCTCCTTGTCCAAGTGGTTGGTGGGCTCATCCAACAGCAGGATGTCGCATTGGCGCATCATCGCCGACGCGAGCAATAGCTGGCAGCGTGCGGCGGGGTGAATGTGTCCATCAACCACACACTGCCCCTACGGCCCGTGTGTATAACATCGGCCAATTCGTGGCAGATAAAGTCAACATGCAAGGATGCGTTATGCACTTCGCATGCAACACCACGCAACGATACATCTACTCTACACGGTCGCGATACATATGACTCCATATGACAGTGTGTCGCATATCTTGCGCGTGCAATGAGCAAGCCATCGAGCACATAAAATACACATATCAACCCAATATGGTTTACACATTGCGGGCGCGTGCGTGATCCCAGAGTGGCGCAGCCTTGCTCGTATCAAACACGACAATCAAACTATTGTGTACAAATGGTGGCGCCGCGTATTCCGTAGTGGATCTCAAATGCCGGAAGCCGTGCTGCACATATGGGGCTCGCATCGCCGGCATGAGCTTGGACGACCGCTGAAGAACAACATGGGCGTAATCCTCCCTTAGTTCGGACCTGCTTAGATTCTGCCTTAGACGCTGCTCACATCCAGCCAGCGTGTAGCCTGAGATCCGAGTCCCTTCCATGTTGGCCCACATCGTGCTATGCTGGTGGTGCAACCACGCTGCCGCTGTGGCATGAAGCGTCGACCCCCGTGAGATCATCGGGCTCTGGAAAGCCACGATGCCCCTTCTCCCACTGCACCCCCCCCCCTTCAGAGGGCGCGAGAGAAATGGCGAGATCAAGAGGGCAGACAAGGGGGGGGGCATGTGTAGAAAGAAGTTTGGCTTGCCTGCGCCGCACGACGTGACGTCGCATGTGTTTTGTTGCGAGTGCGTGTGGGTGTGTGCGCCAGAAATGACTGTTCCGCCATTGTGACTGCCCGCCGGATAGACTCTTTGAAGTGTCGTGGGGACAATGTGTGTATTTGTATATAGAAGTATGTGTGCGTGAGCCGTACGTCTGTGCGCTCGCCGAAACGAAAAGGGTCCCGAGTCCTGCTTGCGCCGCAGTTGTGCGCGCCTGCCAACCACGGGAGCCGATATGGAATGGTGATATTCTGAAGAGCGGCCGAAGGTCCAGTCTCTTCCGAGCTGTATGTCCGTCTTCGCCTTGCGTATGCCACGCGCCACTTGCAGGTTGCAGCTGCACCCTCGTCACGCGCTGCGCAAGTGCGCCGCGGGTGAATACAAAGTATACATGCCTGACCACCTGTTAGGCTGTCTTAATGCGTCTCGGTCTATACGTGTTTCTGAATGATTCTGCCTCTGTTGGTCGGACGGACTGTCAGTCCGAGTGTCAGTCTGCCACTGCGTCATGGCATAAATACTACCATATGTTCATTCGTTTACCTTTCTGTCTGTGTCTCTGGCGCCCAGCTCGTATTACGTCAGCACCGCATTCGTGTACCAAACAAGCACGGCCCAACACCCACCCACTCCATCGAGGTCAGCATCGGACACCGAACAGACAGCCAACTACTAGGTGTGTAATACCTTGCACTCTTGCTTCGACACCACAGATAATGCCCTTGCGCAGCGAGGCACAAAACACGGTGTACGATAATCCATGGGGCCATGGCAATTTGAGCCATCGGGCCATCGCCAGGGGTATGTGGAGCTATGGAGTGTCGGCGTGGAGCTCTGGCTTTCAGACCACTCGAATGTGGGCACGGGGCCACCAAGCCGGTGCCGTGACGACGACTGGGAAATGGAATCCGGAGACCGAAATCTACAAACACTGCAATTGTTGTTTCTGCGTGACGCTAGGATCCGAGAGATTGCAATGACACGATGGAGCTTACCAGCAGACCATGGTCATCTGGCATTGTTGCTCGTGTCTGTTCGGCTACGAGGCGTGGCCACGGGGCCGCTACCGTGGGGCAACGGCAAAGGAGCCTCACCTATGGTCCATGGGAGCGTTGCCAGGGTCCGTAGGTAGATAGGTCCATGGGGCCGATGACATCAGACAGTTTTTAACCAGAAAACAATTATTCCGACGGTAGGACCCCGCATGATATTCTTGTAAACTACTCTGTCAGCACACTTCGTCGTCCACGTCCCCCCCCGCCTCCGCCTCTTCCTCCTCCTTCTCCGCTGCGCGGAGCAATCCATTCAGACGTGTCCGTGCCACTCGCCGCTTAAGCCGCCTCGTATTAATAACATGGAACACGGACCCCATAGGAAAGGGCCTCCGCTAGAGACTTGCTTGCGATTCACTCGGGAACGAGGCTCCCGCTCGAGACTTCCTCTACATTCAGGCCTCAAGAGCCCAAATGACGACAGTGACAGGGTTCCGATACCCCGCTCGGATTACAGAAAGTGGGGACCCCATAAAAAAGGACTCCCGCTCGAGCTTTCCCCGCGACTCACTCACACACGAGGCTCCCGCTCGAGACTCCCCCGCGATTCTCACACACGAGGCTCCCGCTCGAGACTTCTTCTATAGTCTGGCTTCAGAAACCCAAATGGTACGATAACGATAGTTACCAGGTTTCGATATCCCGCTCGGATTAGAAACATTGAGTGGGAACCCCACAGAAAAGGGCTCCCGCTCGAGACTTCCCCGCGATTCACCCTCACGCACGAGGCTCCCGCCCGAGACCTCCTCTAAATTCTGGTCTCTGGAGCCCGAGAGTGATTCTCCCCAATACGGTCCAAGAGGGCCCCGAGACGCCCCAAGACCGCACCAAGACAAGACGCCCAAGATGGCCCCAAGACGGCCCAAGAGGCCTCCGAGACGCCCCAAGAGAGCCCCGAGAAATCCCGAGAGGCCAAAATCATGTATTTCCCATTGGTATTTCAATGAACTTAGGGTCCTCGACTTTTCCAGCCTCCGACGCTCCAAGACGGCTCAAGAGGCCCCCACGACCGCCCCAAGACGGCCCGAGCGGCCCCCAGGAGGGCCCCAACACTGCTCAAGAGGGCTCCAAGACGGCCCCAGAGGAGGCCAAGACGGCCCAAGTGGGCCCAGAGACACCCCAACAAGGGCCCAAGGAGGGGAACACGAACCGAACATCCGGGTCTCCCGCCCCAGGAGCCCCCGTGGAGGACCCGAGGAGGCCCCAAGAGGCCCTGAGAGGCCCCACGAGACCCCCAAGAAGCCCCGAAGACGCCCCGAGAGGCCCCAAAACAGCCCCCAAGAGGCATCAAAACGGCCCCCAAAATGCCCCCCCCCATTCCAACGAACATCCTAAAGGCCTGCCGGAATAAGGACGGCCCACTGGTGATGTCATCAACTCGCCGCCGTGCGATATGGTGATGTCAGACGAAGGATAGGACAGTATAGGGACAATTGTCGTAATGTCATCCTAGATCATGCAAGTTTACGTCCCGCAGCTGGTACCGAAACACCGGGAAGCTGACTGACTGACCCAACCCAACGGGAAAATAAATCTCCCAGAACTCGGACGACTTGTCGACATGAATCCGCCGGAGGTGAAGATGTCCGCAAATCATCCCTCCAGACACGCCGTGGAGAGTTGCCCAGGCTTCTGGAGTTCTCGGTACCCGGTTGCATTCAGCATTCCAATAATTCAGATAAAAGGGCAGGGAGCCAAACTCGGGGATGGACAGACCCCCCTTTAGTAAAACGTGGTTTAGTGAAAACGGCCTAAGGCCCGAACCTGGCGGGCGCAAGCCTGGAAAATGACGGCCGCGGCGCCCTCTCGAGAACCGAGAACGGACCATTCACGAATCGACGTGTCACTGTTGGGGGTCCTGTCCCCCCCCGACAAAAACATCCCCCGTCGGCCCCGCGCGCTCCCACGCGCTCCTGGGCCTCCCCCGCGTGCCCGGTCCGGAAAACTGGGGGCCCCCACGACGGGCCAGGAGGAGGAGGAGGAGGAGGAGGAGGAGGAGAGGGAGGAAGAGGACGAGGAAGAGGAGGCGGAGGAGGAGGAGGAGGAGGAGGAGGAGGAGGAGGAGGAGGAGGAGGAGGGGGAGGAGGGGCCCGCGAGAGGCCCCCCCACGACGGCCCAGGAGAGAGCCCCCGGTCGCCCAGGCATC